CTGTTCGTAATTCATAACTTTACTCCTAAATCCTAATACTACTTAATTATTAAATAATATGGTAAAAAAGTCAATTCATTTCTTTTAGGAACTTGATCTAACAGCTTGCACGACCTATTTCTTTCCGGAGAACCTATTCTCCCTGTTTAAAGTGATATTGAATGTATAGGTCTTAGTGCCTTGGTCATTATAAGAAAGTGGTGCTATCAAAAGACTTGCTAAACCACTAGCTTTGAGAACAGGGTCAGCACAATTATTGTCATTATAATCACCAAAAAACATTTGTGTAGTGAACTCTGGAAAATCTGGATGTTGAACTAAAAAATTTATATGCGGCGCTCTATCTCCACTTGTTCCAGGCATCACTGTAATAAAGTTATAGTACCCGAGGTTATTTGTAATAAATCTTCCTGAACCAGCAAAACTTGGATCGCGTTTATTATCATTATTGTCGTAACCACATGCATTTGCATGCCAAATAGAAACTGCAGCATTCTGTATTGGTAGACAGTTTACATCCACTATTCTGCCTACTATGTGTATCAACTCCCCCAATGCAACATCTGGAGCACCAGGTTTTCTTCTCAAGTTATTCGAAGAGTTGAAACTTTTGGGTTTCTCATCAATATCATGTATTTCTGGAGTCTCAATGCAATTTAGCAAAACAGGATCAACTGCAAATAATGACAAACTGTATATCACTGAGATTAGAAACGCCAACAGTACATGCATATCAAATTCCTAAATAGTTTATATTATAGCAGCTTTTTTGTTAAAGTAACAGTAAAGAGGGCATAATTTTTCTCTCACCTTTGAGAAGGCTTGTGTGTATCATTTCTTTAATATTCTGACTATATAGTAAGTAATTCTAACAGCACCGATATACATCACGCCAGCAATCTATTATCTTCTTAATATCTTCATCTGTAGTATTCCATCCTATACTGATCCTAATTGAACATTCTGTTTGCTCTTGTGTAGCTCCCATGGCTTGCAAAACATGTGAAGGTTCAATTTTACCAGAAGAACATGCAGACCCATTACTGATAGCAATGTTATTTAAATCAAAATTTACAAGCTGTACATCACTCTTAACCCTTGGCATATATATATAGCTAGTGTTTGGTAGTCTTTCAGAATCTTTACCAAATATCATTGCATCACCAGCAAGGTTTAACAATTCGCGTTCCAGCTGATCACGCAATACTTCCACTTCTTGCACTTTTAACAAAAGTTCCGGTATATCATGCAATGCAGCAGAAAGACCTGCAATCGCAACAATATTTTCTGTCCCTCCACGTAATCCTTTTTCTTGTCCACCTCCAGAAATTATAGGTTCTAATTCTAATTTTTTATCAAATATTAAAACTCCACTACCTGCTATACCGCCAAATTTGTGAGCAGATAAAGTCAACATATCCACTCCTAAATCTTCCATATTGACATTAATTTTTCCAACGCTTTGAGCAGCATCAGTGTGGAGTATTCCTCCAAATTTATGAACCATTTCAGCTATTTCTTTGATAGGCTGTATCACACCGGTTTCATTATTAGCCGTCATTATTGAAACCAGCACTTTGCTTTCTTTCAATCTATCTAAAATCCGCTCTAATTCAACACAATCAACAACTCCATCACGTTTGACAGGTATCAAGATCGGACTATGCGCAGAATTAAGCACTGAAGGATGCTCAATAGCAGAGATAACATATTGATATCCTTTCAATCCCTTCATCACAAGATTATTTGCTTCAGTCGCAGAAGAAGTGAAAACTATTTCTTTATTACCCGATGCACTAATAAAATTATATACATCATCTCTTGCATCTTGGAGAATTTTCCTTGCTCTTTGACCACTCTTATGCAGCGACGAAGGATTAAGCATACCAAGTGATAAAACTTCAAGTATACGTTTTTTTACATTTTCACTAATCGGGGCAGTTGCATTATAATCAGCATACACATAATCATCACCCCTATTTAGGCAATACCCACCATTTTGAAAAATCATTATGAAAAGTTAAAAATTTATTGCTGAAACAGTCAAATTAATATATAATTAACTAAGTATTATATACTAACTTTGCTAGCTACATTAATAAATTGTACATTGTTTGTAAAGCGAATTTTTTAGTCAGGGAGGTGTAATGGTAGAAGTTTTCTTAAACAACACAACAGAAAGAATAGAAGGGGAATATCACCAAAGTAAAGATGCCAATGCACCAGTTGCATTAGTTTTACATCACCATCCTCAATATGGTGGAAATATGTCACACAAAATGGTGCATAACACATATGATGCTTTTGTACAAAATGACTTCTCTGTGTTAAAAATCAACTTTCGCGGTGTAGGTAAATCAACTGGTACCTTTGATAAAGGCATGGGAGAATTAGTTGATGCTGCAGTAGCAATTGATTGGCTCCAGGAACATAATCACAGCAATACTTCAATTTGGATTGCAGGTTTTTCTTTTGGTGCATGGATAGCTATGCAGCTAACAATGCGCCGTCCAGAAATAGTGGGTTTTGTAGCTATTTCCCCTCCANCAGTGCCTGGCCTGATATTGCAAAGCAGCAACGACACCATTTCAGAGGAAAATGATGTATCATCTCTAGTGAAAAAACTAGCAAACTCGATAAAAAGTGAACACATGCAATATTGCACAATAGACGATACTAATCACTTCTTTCGAAACAAGGAAGATGAGGCTATGCAGATAATAGATGATTATATTAAGTTGCGTTTAAAAAGTTCTTTTCAGCAAGGTGATTATAGTAATATAGTATCCAAAGCAGTGCATGAGTATGCTTAAGAATTTTATTTAAGGATAGAAAGGTCTACGTTATGTTTCAAAGATTATTATTTTTGACTTTAATTGCTTGTATGTTATCAGGTTGTTTTTTAAATAAGCCACGTAGGATAAAAAGCCCGTGCATTAATAGCAACAATGACGGTATAGCATGTGAACTATATTCAGTTAATGATCATTGGCTTAATAAATATAAAAATAATTGATTAAAAATCAGTGTTCTTTATGTGGGTGGTTGCAATTTTGAAGTTGTCTGTTAATTGAGTAGAATATACTTCTTCGTTGTTCTGATCGTAAAAAGCAAATGTGTGATTATCTAAATTTAATATTGCAAAGCCAAAGCCAAAAAAGTTTCTGACTTCGCGTGCTAAGTAATGCCTGTTATTTAAGTAATTAAATTCCATATTATAATAGGTAGGCTTCTGATTTTGAGCGTGCAACAATGCACCACCATTACCAACTATAATCTGATCTGGAGCATTATCCATCAACAGGATTTGTGCTATATGGATATGTCCAGAAACTATTGTAGTAACATTACTGGGAAAATTATCACCAAAAGCTTCAACTTGAGCAAGATTGCCATTATTTTTTAACGTTAAAAATTCTCTTTTTGGAGACCTCCATAATGGCCTATGAGTTAAAAACCATATAGGTTTATTCGATGGATCCTGAATTACCTTGCTAAATTGCTTATTAAAAACCTCAACTTGATTGTTATTTGCTAGCATGTCATCACCAGAGGAGGAATCAAATACAAAAAACTTCATTGGGCCAATATCCAGAAACCAACTAGAAACAAAACTTTCACATTTTTCATGCAAATATGGGTATGAATCCAGATACTTGAACCACCCATTATAAGCCCTATCACAGCTCTCATGGTTTCCACGCACAAATAAAAATGGAGATTGCAACGCAATATTTTTAGTTGGTTCAAACCAATCACTATACCAGGCTTGTGCGTTATATCCATAAACACTGCCACACTTATCTACATTTCTACATCTTCCACTCCTATAATGATAATCACCAACATGTATAACTAAATCTGGTTTATGAAGAGTTATTGAATCTAAATTTTTTTTTAATGGCCAGCTCTCTAGAGAATTGCATTCCTGTTGATACAACATATTAATTCTACACCCTGTATCACCAATAAAAGCAATTTTACTGATTTTTTTAGGTAAGACTGGGATTTGTATACCATCAATACTAATATCTCTAACACCTTGCTGTACTAATAATTCGCATACTTTTTCAGTACCACCTTCATATTTTGTAAAACAACGTTCTGACATCGCTGCTTCATTATTATCAACGTACGCAACCGGACACACATCATCATCTACTATTGCGCGTACGCTTAATTTACCATCTTGGACAACTTGAGACCATGTATACAATACTTTTGCATCAGCAAAATTAAAGCCAATTACTAAAAACGACAAAATATAAAGTAAAATATTTCTCATTAAAAAAACTAAGATAAACAACAATTATACCGATTATTCAGAGATTTTATAGTATCAAGTTGACATTCAAGGTAAGGAATCCTAAACTAATTAAATAATTTAAATTAATTGCGGCCGTGGTGGAATTGGTAGACACGCAGCGTTGAGGTCGCTGTGGCTCACAAGGCCTTGGAAGTTCAAGTCTTCTCGGCCGCACCAATAATGTTAAGTACAATGTTTACACAAAAAAAAAACAAAGTAGAAAGAGCAATTAGTGAAATTAGACGTGGCATACCAGTCATGGTGTACAGCAAAGATGGTTATTTGTTATTTTCTTCGGCTGAAATCTTAGAGAGAGAATTATTTTACCAATTCAAAAATATATCGAATAACACATATATCACCCTTACTGCAAACAAAATAAAGTACATTTCTAAAGGCAAAGAAGATAAGAATAAACGCTTATTGATAAATAATTTCGATGAAATAATGCCTTTTATCAATCAGAAACAAGATAATTTAGAAAATTGTATAATAGAATGTTCAAAAGAAATTGATGAATATGCTATTTCCTTATTGAAGCTTTCAGAGTTATTGCCATATGCATTAGTAGTAGACATAGCTTTTGAAGATATAGGTAAAATGCACCACTGGTGTAAAGAAAACGATATTATTTCAGTTGATGCATCACTTATCAACGAATTTCAGCATGATAATAGTGTGTATGAGATATGTAGGACGCCTTTGTTCCTAAAACAAAATCAAGATGCAAATATCATTTCTTACAGAACATACAATGGGCACAAAGAACACCATGCTATCATCTTTGGTGATTTGAACGCTAATGAGCCTTTGGTAAGAATTCATTCATCATGTTACACAGGAGATTTACTAGATAGCTTATCTTGCGACTGCAGAAGTCAACTACATCAAGCCATACAGATGATTTCTAATGCTAAAAATGGGATTATATTATATCTAATGCAAGATGGAAGAGGGATGGGCCTTACTAACAAATTAAAAGCATATAGTATGCAAAGAAAATATGGTCTTGATACTGTAGATGCAAACAGAATATTAGGTTTCAATGATGATGAAAGAGACTTTGCCGTTGCAGTTGAGATGCTAAAAAAATTGAATGTTAAAAAGCTTCAATTACTTACAAATAATAATAAAAAATTGTCTGAATTAGAAAATTATGGTATAGAAGTTACAAAATGTGTACCACTCATAGTAGAATATAATAAATATAATTATTCGTACATGAAAACAAAATGTGATAAACTTGGTCACAAATTAATGATTTTTTAATTTTATAGTTATAACTATAGCTTGATATGCTGATCAATGTAAGTTAAGATCTTTACAAGTGTTAATTTAATATGTTAAAATTTTTTAGTAGAAAAAGCAGTGAATTACAGGATATAAACTGGAACGTAAGTCGCTATAGCACAATTGTTGCCCAGAGGAATGTTTTGCTTTTGCTTACGCTAATGTTATCAGTAGCTATCACTATTAGCGTATTGGTTGTATTTAAAGTCAGTACTAGTAGCACTATCGAGCCATTTGTAATAGAAATTGAGAAAAAGTCTGGCATAGTGCAATTGGTTGATCCTGTGACAGTTAAACAATATTCTGCAGATGAAACATTAAATAATCACTTTATGGTAGAATACATAAAGGTAAGAGAAGTTTTCAACTCATACAGTTATAAAGAGGACCATGAAAAAGTGAGATTATTCTCCTCAGCTACTGTATATAGAGAGTTTAGTCAAAANATTAGCTCACAAGATACAGAAAAGCTCGCTAACCTTTATTCAGATTTTGTAAAAACAGATTTTAAAGTACGCTCAATACAAAGGTTAAATGACAATCAAACTTACCAACTAAGATTCAGTATAATATTTACACGAAAGGATGGCAGTTCTACAAAAAAGAACAGAATAGTGATAATGTCGTATCGATATGCTCCTCTTGAATTAGATGATCAGGCAAGATATATTAACCCATTAGGTTTTCAAGTCATTTCTTATAGGGTGGATGATGAATATGTATAAAATACTATTAGCATTAATTTTACTTGTAAGTAATAGTTTAAGTGCTTCTACTAATTACAGCAATCCAATCTCTGTAGATAGCAGAATAAAAACCTTTGTGTATAACCCTAATGAAGTGTTTACAGTTGTTTTCAGTCAAGGTTATTACTCATATGTTGAATTTGCAGAGGGAGAAAAAGTAAGAGACATAGCAATAGGTGATGCATCTGGTTGGAAAATTGGCCATAGTGATAACAAGCTGTTTATTATGCCATTTGAAGATAAAACTCATACTAACATGATTGTTACAACAACTAAGAAAAGAAGCTATGTTTTTGATTTAGTATCTAGACCTAATTACTACAAACAGCCTACAGAACATATCGATCATCATGATTCTGCTGAAAAAGATATTTCCTATATAGTACGCTTTTACTATCCTACAGCAGAAGACGAGTTTGATGTTGACCAAAATGAAGTTTCCATGCCCACTCAAATGCAGTATGTTGTTGACAATCCTGAGAAAATAGTAGAGGAAAATGACACAAAGTATAATTATACATACATCAATCATGGTAATGATGAAGATATTGTGCCAGTAGAGTTGTTTGATGATGGTTACTTAACATATTTTAAATTCAAGGATAATAATAAGATACCTCAGATTTTTATAAAAGGAGAAAATAAGGCTAGCAAAAGGTTATTGTTTGATGGCTACATTATAATTAAGGGAGTACACAAAAAATTATTCATGCGTTACCAAGACAATGAAGTTGAAATTATAAATGGTTCACTATAGCTGATTATGGTTAAAAATAATTTTGAAGAGCAAAATAATTCTATAAATGAGCCTGGCGTAGAGAGTAAGGTAGTAACAGTTGGCTCCAACCAAAGCCATAAGGTACTAGTAATCGTTCTTATAGGAGCTTTAATAGCAGTAATATATTATTTTTATAGCTCTTCTCACGAAAATGGAGATTCCAACGTTACTAATCATAAGCAAAAAGAAGTAACACAAGATATTCATGAGCTAAAAGAAAAATTGGAGCAAGTCCCAGAGAGTATACCTATTCCTGAGAGGGAATTAAATAATATTCTGCCACCATTACCTCCAATCGTAGAACCTAGTAAGATACCAGAAATACAGGAAGAAGAAAAAAAAACAGAAGTAAAGCAGCAAGTAGAAAAAGAGCCGGAAAAGCCAAAAGAGAAAGAGTCATATATACCACCTTTGTTTAAACAAGAAAATGTTCCAGAAACAATTCTTCCTTCTTCGCCTACAATAGGAAGCCCTGGATATCCACGAGATAGGCGTAATGCAGGAATGATGGCAATCTCTGGCTCTGGAAGTAAAGAAAAAGATGCTAATGCTTCAGCGCAACAAAGTAATACTCGCATAATACAAAGACTTGATCGTATGGTTATTCAGGGCAAAATTATTGATACTGTTCTTGAGACAGCAATTAGTTCAGATTTTCAGGGACCTATACGTGCTATGGTCACTAGAGATGTT